AGGCCTGGGTTTAGAAACTGTACCCCAGCGACATGCAGCCCATGCTCGACAAAGATCTTACTCGACTCCTGCAGAGTCTTGCCAAAATCGAGCAAATGAAAGGCTAATCTGCTGCCAGGGTGCCTATACATCAGTGTATCTATGTACATGTACATATAAGGTGTCAATACTCACTTATCTCTCCTGGATTAACTGTCACTTCAAGCTTTGGATCACAAACATGGGCACACTCTGGGGGTGGTTCCAGGGTCCACTTTTTTGTCCCCTTTATTTGGGCTTGCCACGATGGGTTCCCTACAGCATCAATCTGCAGATGGAAGACAAGTCCGAGTAATTTTTTTTACCCAGATTTCTATTGGACAAAAGCAATTGGCATAAGAGATCTTTAAGAAAAATGCTTTTTGTAAATCTTGCTTGTTTGACTGACTCAAAACAGACTGTAATCACTTTTGGTAAGTATTTATTCTGACGGTATTATATAGGCCACTATATAGGCTAATATATTGGCTATTAATTAAAAACTGAATCATATTGAATGATGCAATTCTAGATCTCTTGATTGGCTTAGCATCATGGTATATGAGCCATTAGTAAAACCCAGCTAGTGGTCTATTATCAATGCTGCATTGTGATTGGTTGAGCTACTACTAGGCTATATGTTATAGCCCACTAGTAGCGAAAAGTGCTGGTTTTTTGCCAACAAAAAAGGATTTAAGTCTAGCTTTAACTGGCTAGAATTTTTTTATTCTCGATATCTTTGACCAACTAGTTGGATTTTACTAAAACAATTATTCCTCTCCCCCTCATGGCCTCTGAGTCAAAATTATAGCCCATTCGGGCTTGAGGAATAATTGTTAATTATACCATGCTCTCCAAATATGGTAACTGTTTGCATCTGCTAAAAAAATTAAAAACAAACCGAAAATTGGTTGCTATTACAAATAAAGTCGGGAAGAATTCTCGATACTTTGTGGGCTTTTTTTATCATTATAAACCAATTATTCCACTCATGCTTGTTGGATATGAGATGATAGCCAACTTGGCACTACACGCCTTGTTTGCAATCTACTATCTCACATTCAATGCACACCTGTGGAATACTTGTTAAATAACTGTAGGTACATGTATGTCACCGTAGAGGGGATGGTTTGTAAGTGGTTTTACCGTTTAGTCTGGGACACACCATGTTCTGTAAAGATTTTCCAAGTTTCAGCCGATGAAGGAATGGGTATAAATTAAATAAACTTGTCAAATTTTCAACTCAAAAGCTTTTTCAAATTTGTGCTTGTGTGCTTACATGCAGCATGCTAAAAGCAAAACATCTTGATGTCACAACCATGTTTACAATCTCATGCAAACATGCCTCTCAGCCAATCAGACTGCGTGTACTATCTTAATTGTTTTCTAATACATAACATCACATTAACATGTCATTTAAACACTTTGGAGAGCTAGTCTCCATTACCAAGTTTGGAATAAAAATTATAGATAAATAGTCCCTTCATCTAGCATTTTTTTAAATGCAATTCTGAGGCTTATTTTCCCTGCATGACAACAAAGTTATATAATAAGAAGATTTTAATTTCCCAATACAGGGCTTCTGATATTTCGCGTGGTCGCAGAGCTGTGAAATTCAGGTAAATTCGCTAAAACCCGCAAAATTCACAAAAACACACAAAATAATGAGAAATTCACTAAAAATCATATCAAATACATGTCTGTACAACATTTATTAGAGCTGTTTACTTGCTGTACACTTGCAAATGTCTCTTGAAACTTTGTCAAAGTAACAAGAAAACAACATTTCTCAGAGAAGTTTACCCCGAAAATACCCACAAAAATGACAGCCGATTTTTCCACAAATTTGTCCCTGAAAAACCCGTGAAATTTGTCTTTTTTCTCTATGACCTATCAGAAGCCCTGCCCAATAGATGCCTATATTTTTGTGAAAACGGTGCGCTAGGGATTACTTACATGCAAATGAGCACCATAACCAGGGGACCCCATAAAAAGCCAGTCCGTCTTGCTTGATTCTGAAGTATCAGGTAAAAAATAAGGTATTTTATAATGTCTTCTAAGTTCATTTGCTGCAGATGGGTCACAGTTGCTCCTAACAAGAAAAAAATGGAATGGGAACTGTAAATTAACACCAAATGACGATACTAACAGACAAATAATTTGTTAAAATGAGCACTGAAATAACTATATAATAACTTCTTTGATCTGGTCATGCAGTGGTAGGAGGCAACAATTTAAGAAGTACAACTAAGGACAAACTCTTCTTTTAAAAAAATATTGGATATTTTTTTCCGGACAACCAGTCGATAAAGGGTTCTTGCAAGTCCATTATACTGATCAAATTTAAGCCAAAAGGAAGACTTCTTTACTTGAAAGCTGGTAGTTCAGAGTCACAAAAGAAAATCCTCTGTTTTTCATAAGATTTAAGTTAAGCATTTATAATCCACAGATTTTTTTGGGGGGGGTATATTGATAGGAATGGGCAAGGATACTTCCTGTGTGTATACAGGGATTAACACATAAATCTACAAGCTGCCATCTGAAGTTGTGATGCTAAAAAATCGTAAAGATATTTTATTGATTGTCATAATGAATCCAGGTGATCAGACCAAGAGTCTTAATTTAAATTTTATTGCATGATTTTTTTCTTTAATTAATTAAATCAACAAATAAAAATTTAGAAAAGTAGCACATCCATGCAGCTTTTCTTTGTCTACCAGATTCCTGGTCACATTGGAATTTTTATTTTTTATTTTTTACTCACCAACCCAAAATCAGCAGATGCATGCATGTGATACTAAACGTAGAAGAAAGGGAAAGGGTGGCCCAAAATGAAACTTCTGCACCAAAATTTTCAATTCTTTACTTTGTGTTCCATCACCTGCCAATGACCCAAACAACTCTGGCCGGTGTTTCTTGTTTTCTTGCTGTAATCTGATTTTTTAGTTTCATTCAATAGTGCACCAGGTTACAGTAGTTGCCCTCACTACCCTCCATGCATATGCGATCACAGGGACAACAAATCCTTACTGTAACAATGTCAATAACTTTAACCAGAAGACAGGTGTTCGATTATTCATAGAGATCAAAATAAGGCCTATGAATACGATAAAGCAACTAATCCTAACTATAGTGTGCAGTAACATTTCATTTGGCTCCTTCTTTACCGGATATACGTGGCATCAATCAGAAAATTAAACTTAGCTTACTTCGTTACCGCAAGAAAATAATTCAGCAATGTTGGAATAACATTTTAATAAGTTCAACAATAAGTTTGACTTCTGATTTGAAAATAAATGAAAATTAAGGAAGTATGAGCTAGCAGATGTTCGAACAAAAGCTCCAATCCTAATTTTTGGGTATTTTATTTTAAGAAAAGTGTCCAGTTAAAAACATCTTTGATCATA